CTGTATTTTTAGTAGAGACGGCGTTTCACCATGTTGGCCAGGATGGTCTCGATCTCTTGACCTCGTGATCCACCCGCCTCGGCCTCCCAAAGTGCTGGGATTACAGGCTTGAGTCACTGTGCCCGGCCAAGTTCACTCTTAGGGAGAGAGTTCTGTGCCAGTCTTGGGGGTACCCAGAAGACCCCTGACTAGAAGTCCTTAAGTGAATTCAGAGTCCCTCAGGAGACAATAACCTTCAGAAACCGCTTGTGCTAACATGAATGGTCCCGCCCTCTCCACCCTGCAAAATGCCCCTTTCTACCTGTGAGGATGACTGCAATGCTCTCTTTGAAACTTCAGATAAGACAATCTTTCCATGAAATACATCTTCCCATTTTTTCATTTTGGTGGCCCTGCCTTGCTGGCATTACAAACACATGCTGGGTGAAGCCATCCTCGCAAGCTGGCATTGCAGATCTGGGAGTCACCTCTTGGCCAAGAGCAGGTGCAACCCAGGCTCGGGACTCCAGACCCGGAACCCTCAAAACCGGGAACGCTGTAGGGCTACGGCTGTATGGGGAATGGGATCTGGGAGGGACTTCCTGTTGTCCCTAATCCCAGTCTCCACCCGGCTCCCCCGCCCCGTACAGGCTGTGGAGACTCCCTTCCCCGGGGAGGGGGATCCTGCTGCCGCAGGTGCCCTCTCTGCTTCCACCCCGGTGAGAAGGGGGTGTTGGGGAGGGCTCCTGGATCCCGATACCGGCACAGATGATTAGCATGCAGGAGGGGTTGGGGTCAAAGGTGGAAGGCTTCGAGCTGGCAGGAGAGAAGGGGGCCAGGACCAGGTGTAGGAAGGAGAAGGACATTGTCTGCCAAAACCGAGAGCAGGATGGGCATCCCAGGCCCGGGGCAGGTGGTTGCATCTGCAGAGGGGCTGCTGAGAGCAGGCAGGTTGATTTCTGAATCCCAGGTAGGGCTGGGAGTCAGGTATGGACACAGGGGGCATGTCCCGAGGCTGGGGGACAGCAGGGCCTGGATTCCCCTGACTCTGGTGGGCGGGGTCCCTCCAGCACCTGTTTTGCAGGATCACTGCAGAACTTTCTGCTCCTGATGACAGGAAATATAAATTACAATTTAGCCCCGGCTTTCCCTGAGCCGACTGCACTGAGGTGTCAGACTCTTGCTTCAGCAATAAAGGGGACAGTACAAAATAGCACTCTTTCAAAAACAGGACCCAGAAAACATCACAGAGTGGCACCATCGGATAGGGTCTGGGAGACTTTCTTTCCGATGGGGACCAGGCAGTGCCGGTTCTCATGGGGATTTTCCGGGCTCTTTGGAGGTGTCTAGGAAGCGAGGGCTGGTTTCTATCTGCTCTTTCAGGCTCCTGGCCAGAAGCTGGAGGGGGCTTGGCCAAGAAGAGGGAGCAGTAACTCAGCTGTTCTTTCTAGTTCTGAAATAGAAAATGTCTGCAGACGGTGGAGGCATCCAGACCACCCAGGACAAGGAGACAGCCCTGGAGGTACGGATGGGGCTGGGTGAGGGAGGCGTGCCATGGGAGAGGCTGGTGCGGAGGAGATTTCAAAGGCAGGGAGTCTGGACCCATGGAAGAGTTAGACTCACTGGGGAGGGGGGTCAAAGAGAAGGTGGCATGCTGGGTAGTACCCTCTGTCTGGAATTTACAGGATAACAGTTTTGCTTTCCTGGTGAATTCTGTAGTCAGTAGCCACAGGAGACGGCAGGGGGCTGGGTGGGGGTCCTATTGATGAAGTTTTCTGTCTGAGCAGCACTCAGAGCATGCAGGGAAACCTGTTCTCCCTCCCTGTCCTTCTCTATCTGGAACCACAACTTCTCATCTCTCTGGGTCTGAGCTCCCAGTCCTTCTTCCTGCCTGTACCTGCTGCCTGTGTGTGCATGCATGTGTGTTTGAGTGTGAGAGTGTGTGTGTGTGTGTGTGTGATTACTATTTGCAGGGGACCTGGGTCTCCGGGCTTGGAGTCGGAGGAGGATGAGTCAGCAACAGGCCAGGGGCCAATCCCCTGGCCTCTGGAACCGGATGTGTCACTGTAACATGCAGATCACATACTTGCTGTTCCCACCTGCCTCGCAGGGTCATTGAGAGGCTCTAAGGAGACACTAGGCATGAGATGCCATCATCTATGGTTTTCACACCATAGAAGCACAAAGAATTGTTAGCATGGTTCAGTTTCCTGTCCACTTCCGTGTGCCCTGAACACCCTGCGCCTGGGAGTGGAGCCCCACGGGTTGGCATTCTCTGCTGGCACTGGCTTCTGTCCCATGTGCACAGGAAGGGAAGAATGACCAGCACCAACCTGTGTTTATCCAGGACTTTCCTGAGCCAGCAGCTCCTTCTCCACCATTATCTGTGTGAACCCCATGACTGCTCTGTGCAGGTGAAGAGCAGCTATGTCCCAAAGGCTGCCTGGCTGGGGACGGGTGTCGCCAGGTCTGGCACCCAGGGACACCTGGCCTGAGGTTCTTTCCCTCCAAGACCCAAACAAAGATAGGGCACGGAGGAAGGTGTGAGGCCCCAGCAGAAGGCTGGCCAGTCCCTGTGCTATAGATGAGGCCCCACCAGTGCCCTGCCTGACTTTCCCGAAGCTTTTGAGCTCTGTGGGGGCTGTTGTCTCCTCCCGAGCTGTGGTGTGTTCGTCTCCCGTGGCTGCTGTCACAAGTTTCCACTCTCTGGGGATCTGAAAACAACCAAAATTGGCCGGGTGTGGTGGGTCACGCATGTAATCCCAGCACTTTGGGAGGCTGAGGTGGGCAGATCACCTGAGGTCAGGAGTTCGAGACCAGCCTGGCCAACATGGTGAAATCCCATCTCCACTAAAATACAAAAATTAGCCGGATGTGGTGGCACACTCCTGTAATCCCAGCTACTCAGGAGGCTGGGGCAGAAGAATCGCTTGAACCCGGGAGGCAGAGGTTGCAGTGAGCTGAGCCGAGATCATGCCATTGCGCTCCAGCCTGGGGAACAAGAGCGAGACTTGATCTAAAAAAAAAAAAAAAGAACTAGAATTGACTTCTCACAGTCCTGGATGCCTGAAGTCCAAAATCTAGGGTCTGCAGGGTCACACTCCCTTTGGAAGCTCTAGGCTAGGAGGACCGGCCCTTGCCTCGTCCAGCTCCTGGGGACTCCTAGTGTCCTTGGCATGGGCATCCCTCCAGTCTGCTTCCTTCTCTGTGTCCTCTCCTATTCTTATAAGGACATAAGTCATTAGATTTTAGGCTCACTCTAAATCCAGGATGATTTCATCTCAAGATCTTTAACTGACTTCTATAAAGACCCTTTTTCCCCAATAAGGTCCCATTCTGAGGTTCAGGAAGGACATGGATTCTTAGGGAACATACTCAAGCCACTAAGCTTGGTTTCCTCATATACTAATAAACAGCAGTCTACACTGCTGTCGTCAGTGTGAGGCTGGAGCCTCTTCTTGCTGCCTGTCCTTGCTGGGGTGAGCTGGAGTGGAGGCAGCAAGGCCAGTCCTTCAAGCTTTGTCTTGCGTGTGGGTTCAGACCCTGCTGGAACGCCCTGACAGGCAGCTCTGGGTGTCTCTCCCACTCGCCCGGCTCCTGATGGGGCTGTTCCTTCTAGGTGCCAGATCGTGGACATCCTCGTCAGGAAATGCTTTCTGGGCTGGGGGAGGCGATGCCTCCAGGAGCCACTCAGGAGTCATCACACATTAAGATGGAGCCAGAGGAGCCACACCCCGAGGGGGCATCGCAGGAGGACGGGGCTCAAGGTGCATGGGGCTGGGCACCCCTAAGTCATGGTTCTAAGGAGAAAGCCCTCTTCTTGCCTGGAGGAGGTAGGAGAGGGACGGGGAAGAGAGTCTTTCCCAGGGAGGCAGCTGTGGGGAGGTCAAGGCTCGGCCCAGGTTCAGGTGGGGCTGAGGGTCTCTATGCCAGCAGGGGATGCTCTCTCCCCATGGCTCCCTACCCCCAGCAGCCTCAGAGCCATCCGACCCTGTCCTTGGGTTGGGCTGGGGGCGGAGTTTGAGGCAGCTAGGGTAGCAGCAGGTCCAGCAGGATGAGCTGGTCACCCTGAGGACCACTCTCCTCCCATAGCCCTCCCCTCCCCCCGGATCCCAGTGCTTTCCCGAGAGGGGAGGACCAGAGACCGGCAGATGGCCGCGGCGCTCCTCACCGCCTGGTCCCAGGTGAGTGGCCCTTCCCCAGCCCCTGCATGGTGCTCAGTTCTTCCTACATCTGCTGGTTCTGTGCAAAGCCAGGACCCCGCTGGCCCCACTTGCAACCAAGCCCGAAGCCTGGGGCTCTTGCTAGTGCTGCTGGAATTGTCCAGGCTCGAGGCCCACAGTCAGACCTAGCCAAAGCTGGAGGAGAAGCAGCAGGAAGTAGAGACACAGGGGCTTTCACTGGAAGCTGTTGGGAGCCGTCTGAGCTGAGGATGGGGGCTGTATGGGCATCTGAGTCTTAACTGTAGTCCCTGAAAATACCATTTGGTCTCTTCTCAACTCCCCAAAAGGCCTCGGGTGACTCACCCACTTCCCCATCAGATGCAAGTGGCCGGCCTCACTCGAGACAGTGGGTTGGGAGTCCGGGGTCTCGCCACACATCTCATGTCATGATGTCCCTCCACCGTGTCCACAGCGTGTCCTGGAGAGTGGATGTTTCACATTGTTTCAGATGCCAGTGACCTTTGAGGATGTGGCCTTGTACCTCTCCCGGGAGGAGTGGGGACGGCTGGACCACACGCAGCAGAACTTCTATAGGGATGTCCTGCAGAAGAGAAACGGGCTGTCGCTGGGTAAGCACTTGCCTGATGGGGGGACTGGGTTGTCAGGGAGGGGTCCTGCTCTGCCGTCTCCTCTCTACTCCCTTTCCTCCCTCTCCCTCCCATCCTTCTCCTTGTCCCTCGAGACAGCACCATTCCATGGAAACTTCTGTAACAATGGAAATGTTCTGCATGTGCTAGGATGGTAGCCACAAGCCCTGTGTGGCCGCTGAGCACTTGAAATGTGGGTAGAGCCCTCAAGTTTTTAACTTTAATTGGTTTTAATCAGCTCAAATTAGAGTTTAAATAGCCGCATGTAGCTAGCAGCTACTGTACCCAGACGCTGACCCAGGAAGTCCGCTTTTCCTCGGTTCATCCGAAGGGCTCACTCCTGTAGCTCCAGCTTCCTTTCCAAGCCCCAACTTCAGAGGCGTCTGAGCAGCAAGCTTGCCTTCGGGGCCTGGGGGCTGCCTTCCCTGGAGGGAAATAACATGAGCTGGACTCCCCAGGCCCTGCAGACCCTGAGGTGTCCCAACTGCTTTGAGGAGCAGGTGCTTGTCTCTGAGGGGCTTTGGTTCCTTTTCTAGGATGGTAAGTATTTGAGTCACAGAGCTTTTTTTTTTTTTTTTTTAGACAGAGCCTTGCTCTGTCACCCAGGCTAGAGTGGAGTGGTGCCATCACAACTCATGCAGCCTCAACTTTCTAGGTACAAGTGATCCTCCTATGTCAGCCTCCTGAGAAGCCAGCACTACAGGCACAATCATGCCCAGTTAATTTTTTTCTTTTTGGTAGAAATGGGATCTCACTATGTTGCTCAGGTTGGTCTTGAGCTCCTGGACTCAAGCCATCCTCCTGCTTTGACCTCCCATAGTGTTGAGATTACAGGTGTGACCCACTGTGCCCAGCCATCCCAGAACTTTTGACTCCTCAGTTCCAGAGTCTAGTTTTCATATGGAAAAATCAGTGTTCAGTCATTCATTTATTAATTCATTCAGTTGATACCCAGGTATTGCACACTCGCTAATCCAGGCAGAATCCAGGACTCAGCAGTTCCAACTGGTGGCATCGTGGTGCCCAGGCCCCGCTGGCTGGCACCAGGGACGGTCACCCCTTTAATTAGCTCAGGCTGCACACCACTGCTCTTATGGTTCCCTGGGGCCTGGGCCAGCAAGCCCAAGCAAGTCCTGGGGAATCAGAAGGAACTCAGCACCCATTTCAACCCCATGGCAGGCCTCACAGACGCCGCAAGCCACCTGGTTGGTCCAACACATTCCTTTCCTCCCACTGGTGGCGGAAGCCAGGGCGTCTCTGCTCTCTTACTGAGTTGGCCAAAACTCCCGGGGCCACTCACCTCCAAGAGTCAACAAATGGGATGACCTCTTAGTCGTTGGCAACCCTGGCCCTCTTTGTTCCAAGTCCTCCCACATGGAGAGCCACTACCCGCCTCCAGCTGTGGGTGTAGGCGTGGGTTACTGGTCCAGTGGGTCATGATGTAGGGTGTTGCCCACTCCTCTCCCTTAAATGTTGTTGCTGGTTCAGGGAAAGAGGAGACAGGCCTACTCAGCTCAGAGGAGAGCAGCTTTGGCAGCCCCCAGCCAGGTGGCGGACCCCTACCTCCGGGGACTTCTTGAAGCTGCTTTATTTTACTCCATGTTTCCAGAGCCTCACCCCCTACTTTGGCCCCATCAGTTTTGGGGGATGATGTCTGCCACTGGGCAGCGCCAGCAGGCCTGTGATAGCATGGCACCTCTTTCTTGGCAGGCTTTCCCTTCAGCAGGCCTTTCTGGGCCCCTCAAGTGCAGGGCAAGGGTGAGGCCTCAGGCTCCAGCCGGCAGACAGGAGACCAGAAGGAAGATTGGAGAGGCGCGTGCACAGGTGAGAGATGGGAGTGCGCCTTTGTCTAGGTGAGTGGAGTCCAGACGTGGGTCTTCTGGCTGTTGTCTGTGGGAGCGGGACAGGGCCGCCAGACCCCCTCCTCTGTAGAGGGCAGCCCTTGCACTTTCTGGTCTCCCAGAATCCAGCCCCCACCCTCAGCTCTGCCTTCTCTATCCATGGGGGCCCTTAGGGAAGCTTGTCCCTCGCTGGAAACGACTTTCTTTTTCCAGGACCCATCCAAGAGAGACAGGGGGTGCCATGCCCCAAGGGCGTGGCAGCCCTTGGAGATGTGAAGCCCTTCAGAATCAGGGCAGGGAAAGCCCAGGGGGCCGTCCCGCAGTGCGCGCAGGAAGCAGCCTGCGGCCGGAGCTCAGGGCTGGCCAGAGACGCCTGGCAGCCTGCGGATCCAGACAGCACCCCGGGTGCAGCCCCGCCTGACCCCAGTCCCCCGGAGCCCCAGGAGGGCCGTGTCCCAGGGAAGCCCAGCGAGGAGGAGAAGGGAGCCCCGGAGAGCGGCGAGGAGGGCCTGGCCCCTGACGGGGAGGCGGGCAGGAAGAGCTACCGGTGCGAGCAGTGCGGCAAAGGCTTCAGCTGGCACTCGCACCTGGTGACGCACCGGCGCACGCACACGGGCGAGAAGCCCTACGCCTGCACGGACTGTGGCAAGCGCTTTGGCCGCAGCTCGCACCTCATCCAGCACCAGATCATCCACACGGGCGAGAAGCCCTACACCTGCCCCTCCTGCCGGAAGAGCTTCAGCCACCACTCCACGCTGATCCAGCACCAGCGCATCCACACCGGCGAGAAGCCCTACGTGTGCGACCGCTGCGCCAAGCGCTTCACCCGCCGCTCGGACCTGGTCACCCACCAGGGAACCCACACGGGCGCCAAGCCGCACAAGTGCCCCATCTGCGCAAAGTGCTTCACGCAGAGCTCGGCGTTGGTCACCCACCAGCGCACCCACACCGGGGTCAAGCCCTACCCGTGCCCCGAGTGCGGCAAGTGCTTCAGCCAGCGCTCCAACCTCATCGCGCACAACCGCACGCACACGGGCGAGAAACCCTACCACTGCCTCGACTGCGGCAAGAGCTTCAGCCACAGCTCGCACCTCACCGCGCACCAGCGCACCCACCGCGGCGTGCGGCCCTACGCCTGCCCGCTGTGTGGCAAGAGCTTCAGCCGGCGCTCCAACTTGCACCGGCACGAGAAGATCCACACCACCGGGCCCAAGGCCCTGGCCATGCTGATGCTGGGGGCGGCAGCGGCAGGGGCTCTGGCCGCGCCCCCACCCGCTCCCACCTAGGAGGCCAGGAGAGGGGGACTGGGGCGCCCAGGGCCACTGGGACAGCCCCACTGGTGTCAAAGCCCCGAGGGAGGAGAGAGGGGCGCAGGAAGGGAGCTAGGGCGGTAAGGGCATGGGGTGGGGCATGGCGACGTGGGAGGGGCGAGGGCGAGAAAGGGCAGGCACTCTGGCTGCGAAATTAAAGGCCTTGGACTTGGAGCTCCTGCCTACAACTCTGTCTCCTGAGGCCTTGGCACTGATCCCCCCCCCAGCATGGGGAAGCTCCTGGGGCAATCCCTTGTCCTCAGTGAGGCATCCTCCGATGCCTCATTGGCTTGAGCATCCTCTCCTCCTCAGCCTCCACCCCTGGGTTGGGGTCCCTTTTGTCCAAGGCCCATTCCAGAGTATTGCACACATTGGCAAGCCAAGACTTCAGAGAGGTTTTCCAGGTCAGCCAGCCACTCCTGGACCTGGGGACCTCCTGCCAGGCTGTCTGCTGCTGTGTCACTTGTCCCGAGAGCACTGCTCACTGAACCGGCACTCCCCCTCAGCTCTTCTCTTTGGAAGCCAGGAGGAGGCAGAGCTGGTGTGGAAACTCCTGCCTGCCCCATCTCCCACCCAGGCACCGGTGGCTGTGTTCTGTGACTGGTCTTTTCCGTCTGCTCCCACCATGGCCTGCCTTTGGTCCAGTGAGGGCTCCTTACTCACCAGGGGCCACTTTCCTTCTTGGCCCATGCTGCAGCTGCTGCCACCTGCCTCTGCTTTGTCTCACCTCCTTGGCCTCTTGGTATACGTCCTTTATAATTTGCCCTACTCACCTCTGCCTGGCTCTGATTTACTCCTGGTCTTCCCCTGTTTTTTTGCTTTGTTTTTTGTTTTTGTTTTTGAGATGGAGTCTCACTCTGTCACCCAGGCTAGAGTGCAGTGTGGCACAATCTTGGCTTACTGCAACCTCCGCCTCCTGGGTCCCAGAGATATTCCTGCCTCAGCCTCCTGGGTAGCTGGGACTATGGGCATGTGCCACCATGCTCGGCTAATTTTTTGTAGAGAAGGGGTTTCACCATGTTGGCCAGGCTGGTATCAAACTCCTGATCTCAGGTGATCCACCTGCCTCAGTCTCCCAAAGTACTGGGATTATAGGCGTGAGCCCCTCGCCTGGCTTCTTCCCCTGGTTTTTTTTTTTTTTTTTTTTTTTTTTTTTTGCCCGGTTTTTTTTTTTTTTTTTTTTTTTTTTTTTTTGAGGCGGAGTTTCACTCATGTTACCCAGGCTGGAGTGCAATGGCGCGATCTCGGCTCACCGCAACCTCTGCCTCCTGGGTTCAGGCAATTCTCCTGCCTCACCCTCCTGAGTAGCTGGGAATACAGGCACGCGCCATCATGCCCAGCTGATTTTTTGTATTTTTAGTAGAGACGGTGTTTCACCATGTTGACCAGGATGGTCTCGATCTCTTGACCTCGTGATCCACCCGCCTCGGCCTCCCAAAGTGCTGCGATTACAGGCTTGAGCCACCGCGCCCGGCCCTTCCCCTGGTTTTAACCTCTGCAGCTCCCAACTCCCATTCTCTGCTTTTTCCCCTGGGTGGGGATGAGCTCAGCCTGGCTGTCATCCCATATCTGTGGCCCAGCTCCTGAGATAACTTTCAGCTCTGACACCAACTGATCATGAGGATGTCTGCACCAGGGGGGCCATAGAGACCCCACCTGTCTCTGTGGATTATGGGGCCACCAGGGCGGCCACAGCCCTGGTTGGCTCCCAGCTCCAAACAAAAAGAGTGGCTTGCCTAGGACGATGGACTGAGGAGAGTAATCATAGCTGCCAGTTGTTAAGCAGCTGCTCTTCCAGGCATGGGGCCAAGCACTGTAGACTCAGCGCCCCGGCTCTCCACAGCAATGTGAGTGGGTATTGCTAGCCCAGGTTTTTCCTTTCCTTTTTTTTTTGAGACAGAGTCGTTCTGTCACCCAGGCTGGAGTGTAGTGTGTAGTGGCACGATCTCAGCTCACTGCAACCTTTGCCTCCCCACATTCAAGCAATTCTCCTGCCTCAGCCTCCCAAGTAGCTGGGATTACAGGCACGTGCCACCATAACTGGCTATTTTTTTTTTTAATTTTTAGTAGATGCAGGGTTTCTCCATGTTGGTCAGGCTAGTCTTGAACTCCCAACCTCAGGTGATGTGCTTGCCTTAGCCTCCCAAACTGCTGGGATTATAGGCGTGAGCCACCACGCCTGGCCGTTTTGTCTTTTTAAAAATAGAGATGGGGTCTTGCTATGTTGCTCAGGCTGGCCTTGGACTCCTGGGCTCAAGTGATCCACTCACCTCA